CCAGATAGTGAAAGACAGCTTCGATTTCTTGCCATAGTCGACACTGAGGCGCTCAAGAATGAGACAGCCCAAGCCAGAACCGGTACCACCACCGCAAGCATTGAACACGAGGAAGCCCTGCAGACCAGTGCAGTTGTCAGCAAGCTTACGGATACGGTCGAGACAGAGATCGACAATCTCCTTGCCAATGGTGTAGTGACCGCGGGCGAAGTTGTTAGCAGCGTCCTCCTTACCAGAGATGAGTTGCTCAGGATGGAAGAGTTGCCTGTAGGTGCCGGTTCGAACCTCATCAATAACAGTGGGCTCGAGATCAACGAAGACGCATCGCGGGACATGCTTGCCGGCACCAGTCTCCGAGAAGAAAGTGTTGAAGGCGTCATCACCACCACCGATGGTCTTATCAGAAGGCATTTGTCCATCAGGCTGAATGCCGTGCTCGAGGCAGAAGAGCTCCCAACAGGCATTACCAACCTGAAGACCACCCTGACCGACGTGGATGCAGATAGCTTCACGCATATTGGAGGACTAGGGAAAGCGCTGAAGTAGCGACAAAAGGATTCTGAAAGCAGTGTAGAATTACTTGAGCTCGAACATCCACCCCCAAGTCATCACCACCTATACAGCCTCATCTTGAGAGCCAATACCTAGTAAAGAGCTACAAAGTGTATAGTCGGATACTACTGATGCTTAAGAACTTCAGACGAGCCTCGTGCTGTGTAGTCTTATGCAGCAAGCTCACTCAATGCCAACATTCCAGCGACCGAAACGGTTCCCATTTTGGGGCGAGCGAGCGTAATTATGGGCGTTATAATAGATGGCGAGCGAGATCTATCATGCGCTTTCGATATCGCGTACGCCCGCTCGTTGGGCCAACCGACTTGACGTTGTAAGCCCGTTCTAAAGTCGTTGCTGAATACCCTCCCTAGTTGCAGAATGCAAAACCTACTAAGGCGAGTCTCGCTCCGCTCCTCACGACACTTCTGCTCATCCACCGGCATCACTGAACCTCTGAGTAAAACCTTATCAGAGGGTGGAGCACGCGGAGGCATGAAGGCGGCCTTGAGGCCTTGGGTGAAAGTTGGATGGGAAAAACCCGTCGGTAGTTTCCAAGACCCCAGCCGAGGTATCAACATAAGATTTACGCTTAATCGTTAGGATATTGGCTCCTTGGGACTTCGGGACTCTTAGCTGGCATGGTGCTGGTCGGAGGATATACCAGATTGTCTGGTGCTGGCCTCTCGATGACCAACTGGAAATTCCAAGTAGCCTGCGCATAGCCTCCTCTATTGAGCTCTCATTAGGGATCGCTCCCACCTAATACTCCCGAGGCTTGGGAGCATGAATTCCTCCGCTACCAAGAATTTCCTGAGTACCAGCGAATCCACAAGGTGATGTCATATCGCAGCCTCTTCGACAGTAGGACCTGCGATTCTTCAGAACACAATGACAGTTGATGAGTTCAAAGAGATATACCTTATCGAGTGGTTTCATAGAATGCTCGGAAGAGGTACGCTAACAGCTTGATCAAGTCCAACAGACCGCTGCAGTATCGGGATATTCGTCGAGTGCCTTTATTTCCTATCACTGAGCAGAGTCATTAAGTGGCCCTTGGGGACC